ATTGTCACTCAACATGTCAGAGTTGCCTTTCCCTTCCATAACGTACAGGCAGCTGTGCTGCCCTTGTTGTGTTTCTCTAAGAATTCAGCTGAGGGTCTTAAATCGGAGAGCAGGCACCGTTCTCGGAAGCATGGGAGTTGGAAAGCTGGAGAAAGATAGCAGCACTGAGGCGGTTGCTTGCCATGATGATAATGACAGAATGAGTCCAGGGTGGAGAAGAATTAAGCCTTGTTGTGTTTACTCTTTCAAATAGCTTACATCTAGTATTGAAAGTGGCCTGGGTCAGTCAACAGCACTCACTTGTGCAAAGTGCTCTCTTGCTTCCCCATCTGCTTTTTTCTCTCTTTCAGTGCACTTGCTGGTGTGCAAGGAAGTCTTCCTCAGCCACCGGGCCAGCCACTTGCTTTTCTAGCAGTAGGATGTTGCCTGGAGATATAATTAACACAGCTCAAGAGGCTGATCTTATTTTGCAGTGATACTGAAGATTAATGATGACCCTGACACCTGGCAATCTGGCTTGTTAAAATGCACTGCCTACCTTCTACATTTAAAAAACCAAGAACACTACAAATTAGCAGTCAGAAGGAAGCTGAAAGGTGTTTATGTTCTCTCAGTCCTGCATTCCTTCCCTCTTCCTGTTTCCCCCTGAAGTAGGAGTCTTGCATCTGGGTCACATCTGGCAGCAGTGTTTTTTAGAGGACAAACTGCAGACTTTGCTGTACTCAGTGGCAGTGGCTACATTGATATCTATTTATATGAGAATTTGTCTAGCCCTGTTCCTCGTGGGACAGGTGAGCCTTTTTCAAATCTCATTTTCACAGATGTTCTTGGGGACCATATACCAATGGTGGATGGAACCAGAGTCACGTTTTAGCTAAAAGCTTTTAATGGCCACAACTAAGACTTAAGAGAGGCATTCCAGCTGTGGAGATAGGGGAAAAATTCTATACAAAAGCTGAGGGAATCATAGGGAAAGGTATGTGACACAGAGGATTCGGTTCAGCCCAAAAGGGCCAGATTCAGTGCCAGGATCTGAGGTTGCCAACACCTGGACTTACCTGTTTACACATGTATTTTAAAAGCATACATTTAAAAAGTGCTAATGACATAATCAGTAATAGGTGTGTTGTATTTGGTAGTAAGACAGGGCATTCCCCCCAGCAGTTTCTGGTCTTATGCCCAGTTTCTGAATCCAGGTTGTTTGTCTTCTGCATTCACAAGTCCCCTGGTAAATGTAGCATAGCTCTGTCTGGAAGGGAGAGAAAAACAAGCTTTAGCCTGCAGTCCTTCATCTGTAAGCCATAAGAATGTAAAAATGATGATCAAACTGTACAACTGTCTAGTACAGCTCTGTGTATCCATAGTGGCCAAACCTATGCCATTCAGAAACCAGCAAGTAGGACATGAGAGCATGTTTTATTCTTGGTCTCCAACAACCAGTATAGGTATGCTGCCTGTTTTTCTGGATCACTGTGCATAGGCATCATGACTAATAGCCATGAACATCCTTATCCTTCATGAATTACTCTCAGATCCTTCCTGATTTATAGCTATCACTGCATTTTGCTGTATAGAATTCAATATATAATGTTTTGTATTATATAGCACTTCTTTTTGTCCATTCTGAGTCATCATTCACTTAACCTGCTGACCGTGGAATCTATTATATTCAGGAAAAAATTAACACCATTTTATTTTACTGTATTTTATTTTATTTTATCATTTAAAATATTTATATCCCTGATTTCTCCTAAAAAGAAGCCAAGGTGGCTTACAGTATTAAAAAGAAAAAGTATTAAAAGATAAAAATAGTGAATGATTGAAAGAATTAAACAAATATAATATTAAAGCTAGTAGATAAAAACAGTACCAAAACACATTAAAAACAAACAGAAATACCTTATAAGAGTCGTATTTAAAAAAACCCCTCTTAAATAGCCAGTCACTTAAAAAAACAGCCTCTTTGAAGAGAAAGGTCTTTGCCCGCTTGTGAAAGAACAGCAAAGACAGGGACTGCCTGGTCTATCATGGGAGAGAGTTCTAGAATTTGGGACCAGTGACAGAGAAGGCCCTCTCCCATGTCTGCACCAAACACACTTCTGATGATGGTGGCACTGAGGGGAAAAGCCTCTCTTGGTGATCTTAAATCTTGGGCAGGCTCATAAAGGGAGATAGCTTGGACCGAAATCACCTTTGAGATAGCTTGGACCCATCATGCACAATTATATGAACCTCCACAGTGCTTGCCTAATTCTAAATTTTCAAGTTTGCCCCTTTCTTTCCTTCAGCATCCACTGACCAATGTTTCTCTGTATAATATTGGTTCATTTCCTTGCTTCTTTAATTATATTTTTTGGACAGTTGATTTTCTGGAGCCTGCATATCTAAAGCAGTTTTCCTGACAAAACGTTGACATGGACTAACAAAAAGCATTTAAAATCTTTTTTTGCTCCAATCAACCCTGTCCTAGCTTACCAACATCTTAATACAGTAATAGAATAGACATATCCTATCCAGTCAAACTTCAAAGACTAAAGCTGCCTCTGAATCCTTAGTGTGAGCCCATGGTAGAAAAGTACCGTCACATGGTACAGCGCATTCTGTTCAGAGCTTGGAAGAGTGGCCCTTATCTAGCTGACATGTCCAGTGTCCATGGTGGCTAAGGTGATCTGGGAGATGTAATTCAGACACGTAACTTTTCTGAGCTTTGACCACTGGTCATTAACCCAGTGTGTGCGCAGATTTTTGTTACACTTCCATATAGTTGAGAAGAGCTGGTGGCTTGCTTTTTGGTGGTTCTCCCCATGGGCAATTCTGACTGTAAAAGCAATTCTATCAATTATGTTTTGGAAATACTCAAGAATTTGAATGCAAACAGAGTCTTCCAGATAAATCATGCTAATAACCCTGAGGATAACAGCTACACAGTGGGGAGGCTGCTTTCTTGCAGTCTGTTAATATGGAAGATTCAGAAAGCAAAGCCGGCTAGTCTGTAGAATCACTCTCAGAAAATGTGAGATATACAAAAATAGAACTAGCAGTATCCAAGCAGGAGAGAAGCTGTGGTTTGTAATGCATTTCCATTTTAGTCACCCGCAGTTCTGTCAACAGCACATGGTTAGGGCTAAGACAAATCAGATTGGGTTTTTAAAAAATTGAACCACATCACTGGCATTTTATTTTTCTACCACATCTTGAATCTTCAATGTGCAATTGCAGAAATTTCACCTCTGCCAAAAGCCGTTATTTATAGTATGAGAACATTTTTTTTAAAGGATGCATTTTAGTATGGGAACATATCTAAGGTTTCAAGAGCTCCAGGTTGTTTATTGAGTTTGCAACAGTGGTTATCCGCAATAGTAGAAATGTCTGAGTGGGCAGCTGGACCACGACAGAAGTATTGTCAGCCTTCTTATATTTTCCAGAAGTAGTACAAATTAAGCCCCATTCCCTGCTTCTAGCTGCAGAGCCATAGGATTTGCAGATTACTTGTCTCTTTCTGTTCATGTCTATTTGCCCCCTACGTTCATCAACAAGGAACTTCCCCCTTTACTCCTCAGGGGCCCTGAACAAGTGGGACAAAGGGATGCCCATCTTCTATGTATAAATTGAGAACAGGAATGCAAGCAAAAGAGAATAAAAGGGGGATTGCGATTTGCTGTCTTGTAACCTAATTGTCTCCATGTGTTTTGAACTACAGCTCTTCCAAACTCAGCCACCAATGGTTAAGGAATGGTGGCGGGAGTGTAGTCCAAAATACCTTGCTCCCAGTGCCTGTAGTGTTTCGCATGTCTTAAACAAGTGTGCATGGAGAAGCAATTTCAGAAAGAATTAGGAGGTTTGTATGAACTCAGAAAGCTCAACTGCTCCAGGGTGGTCATGTACCCTTTTTCTGTTGGCACTGTTTGCATCGTGGAATGTGGGTGCTACAAAAATATGGATGTTTAGTTCTCTTCTATTTGCCTTCCTCTCATGGAAGAGCAGGGGAACATAACTAGGCTTGATAGGTGAGCATACTAGATTTTAATTATTGATCTGTACGCTTGAGGAAAAGGTTCCAAACTTAGGGTAGAAAGTCACTGGAAAAGCGAAGGAGCCAGTTGGCCTGCAGTAATAAGGAATGTCAGTGGCCAAAACTCTGTTGCTTAGCATAATATACTGCACTAAAGTAGACCCATTGAATCAGTGAGGATTTGAGAAATCAAATACTCCATTAAGTCAAATGGTCCTAATAACTGTGACTTATTTTAGCAAAGTACATTGCAGTTGGGGTAGGCCCATTTAAATCAATGGAACTTATGGCAGAGTTGACTTACTAAATTCCCATTGATTCAGGGCAACTCTGGTACAATTTACTATACTAAGCAACATAGTTTTGACCAGTAGATTGCAAACATGAATCTTAGGCATAGTGGAAATATATTCACGAGTGGGTGGGTAGATGGGTAAGAGAGAATAGAGTCATTTCTTATCCTACTATGTAACATGAAATAATTGATGGAACAGCCACCCAACTGTTTCATTCAGAGTGATAGAATATGGCCATATGCTCATAACTTGCAGACCAGACAAACATGCCGTCAGGCCACATTTCATGAGCATTCAGGAGGGGCATGAGGATGGACATAGAATTATAGAAAAGTGAAGTTGGAAGGGGCCTACAAGGCCATCAGGTCCAACCCCCTGTTCATGAGTGGCACAGATTTCCCATTTCAGTAACTTGGGGGTATACATTATGGATCTTGGGAAACAATCACATATTTCACACATAAAGCAGACTTCCAGCTTCTTTTGCCTGCCAGGTGAAAGGATTTATCTTGGGTAGCCACTCAGTAAGATTTAGTGCCTCTGGGGATGTTCGGCTGGGACTCATTCTCTACCAATTATGTTAATTAAGGAGGTAGTGCAGCTCTGTGGCTTTCCCCTTTTCCTTTACCATATAGTAATTTCTCTTTCTTTTCTCTCCTATCTCCTCATTTTCCCCATGCCATCTGGAGCAGCAGCGGCCAGTGAAGCAATCCCTCAGCAAGTCTCTCTGTAGGGAGTCACACTGGAAGTGCCTGGTTCTATCCCTCCTCATGTACGGCTGTATGGGAGCCATGACGTGGTGCCATGTGACTAAGGTGACCCGGCTGACATTTGACAGTGCATACAAGGGAAAGTCCATGATGTACCACGACAGTCCGTGCTCTAATGGCTACGTCTACATTCCCTTGGCCTTCCTGGTGATGCTCTACGTTGTCTATCTTGTGGAGTGCTGGCACTGTTACACCCGCAATGAACTGCAGTACAAGGTGGATGTAGAAAGTGTGCATGAGCGTGTCCAAAGGATGCAGCAGGCCACACCGTGCATCTGGTGGAAAGCCATCAGCTACCATTATGTCAGGAGGACTCGCCAGGTTACCCGCTACCGCAATGGGGATGCTTATACCACCACCCAAGTGTACCATGAGAGGGTCAACACTCATGTGGCAGAAGCAGAATTTGACTACTCGAACTGTGGAGTGAAAGACATTTCAAAAGACCTGATAGACCTGGAGAATTTCCCATCTACTCGACTTCGCTTCACCAAGTGCTTCAGCTTTGCTAATGTAGAGTCCGAGAACTCCTATCTGACCCAGAGGGCCCGCTTCTTCACAGAGAATGAGGGACTGGATGACTATATGGAGGCAAGGGAAGGCATGCATCTCAAGAATGTGGACTTCAAAGAATATATGGTGGCCTTCTCAGACCCAGACAACCTACCTTGGTATGTCTCCCACTATGTTTTCTGGGTAGCTGCTCTCTTAACTTTGTCCTGGCCCTTGAGAGTCTTGAATGAGTACCGCACTTCTTATGTTCACTACCATGTAGAGAAACTCTTTGGATTTGATTATGTGGCGGTAACGCCTGCTGAAGAACGCCCTTTCTGCCGGAGGATGCCACGGGTCAACACAGTGGATAGTACTGAGCTAGAGTGGCATATCCGGTCTAACCAGCAACTGGTACCAAGCTATTCAGAAGCTGTTCTCATGGATTTAGTGGGGCTGTCTGGCTGTACTACCTACTCCTCCTGCCGCTATGGGAGCTACAGACAAAACTGTGAACAGTGCCACAGGACTATAAGCAGCTCTTCCATCTTCTCCCGCAGTGCTCTCAGTATTTGCAATGGCAGCCCCAGAATCCCCTTTAGCAGCAGCCGCTTCTCATTGGGCCGCCTTTATGGCTCACGGCGCAGCTGCCTTTGGCAGAGCCGAAGTGGGAGCCTCAACGAACAGAGTTGCCCAACTGAGCAAACCCGGCTGTCCAGCCAAGTCACAGTGGAGGAGGAAGATCCCCCTCCATACCAGGATGCTCTCTATTTTCCGATCCTCATTGTGCATCGAAACGAAGGCTGCCTCAATCATGATCACCGACATCTTCATCGGAATGGGTCCTGTGTGGAGACCTCACTGTGAGGGTGCGGAAACTAACTACTGAAAGTGCCCTATGCCCAGATGTGGTTGAGGATCAGAGGATATGGAACACAGATGGAGGCACCAACATACTGGTTATGTGCATCAGAGAGGATTGCTCCCTTTCCCTGTCCCACAAAGGTTCCGAGTCCCATCCTGTCTCTAGAGATCTGTTAATGGCTTTGCTAAGTGGTGAGCAATCTAGCGCCACCATTAAAACCATGGTACAGAATTGCAGATTGACAACCACATGCAAAAACAAAAACAAAAAACCAAGAGAAAACCAACAGTGCAAAGGCAGCCCAAGTACCATAGCTGCTTTTTTTCTGGCTCTGCCTCCCAGTTACTCAAGCTACTGTACTCTCATGCTATCTAGCAGGAACTGTCTCTTTCCCATATTGTATGGTGGGGACTGTTATCACAACTTCTTAGGGTCATAATTCAGTGGACGAATCCATGGCAATGTGGCATGTTTCCTTCTCAAGCGAGGCAATTAACTGCTCTGATTTCCTAGGCACAAGACGCTGAAAAAGTAGTTGACAAAACAGCTACAAGTCAGGCCTTCCTGCATTCTTTTTTCTTTCCCCCAAACAATGCTCTGACTGTTACATTGTTCTCAGCTGCTGAGGACATAAGATTTTAGGATGTTTCCCTGGAAAGCCTTGATATTTCACATTTGAGAATCATCACCTCAAAGCTTTAAGCATTCAACATACTTTTTTTGTGGCAGCAGAAAGGAAGACTAAGCAAGGAAGGTACAAAGGAAATCCCAGATTTTGATCTGATGCAGTCTTGAATTCAAATCCCGGAAAAGGCCCAGTACACAAAGTAAGCCACAGAATCTGTGTGTGAGAAGGGGGGGGGAGGGTTGAGTTGGGAAGCAGGGAGCTCTGAAATAAGTGACACTTCATCATAATGAACTCATCCAGGCAAGAAGTCTAGTATCAAGGGAAGTTCTGAGAGGGTCAGCTGCAGTTTATCTATTAATAATACAGGTATAGGATGATGCACAGCTGTAGTAATTGGTGGTGGTGGTCGTCATGAATTTTATCCAGAGACAGGCTATCTGATTGCTGATGTCCTCTAGAATATGAAGGAAGCAGTTATTTTACGTATAAAATTTAAGTTGGGTTGGGTTAGGATAATGTGTTTTCCTGTGGAAGAAAGAGAAAAGGAGATTTTTGAACCTTTCTGGGGGGTTTATTAGTAGAAGAAGACAACAGCTATAGAAAACAAAAATATGTCCGTTTGGTAGGAGGATCTAAGGAACTTTCTTTTCCTTTGAAAAGGGTGCACCCTCTGTTTCTGAGCAGCTTGAGGTGCCTCCTTCCTTGCAGTGCATGTCAATGATGCAAGAGCACCTTGGTGAATAATTTGTTGTATTTGACTACAACTTCCATCAATCCCTGCCAGCAAGACTAGTGGTCAGGGATGAAGAAGTTTGCTGTCCAGAACTCCTGGAGAGCATCAGGTCAGGGAAGGCTAGTACTATAAGGAAAATATTAAAGCATTCATAGTACGACATTCCATAGAGGCTGCTTTGCCCATCAGAAATAGATCTGTCTTGGTTTGTGGCCAGACTGATTTATGAACAGTAAAATGAACCACTGATTAATTCTTGAGGTCAGGACTTTCCCCTGGAATTATCTAAGCTGCTGACAACAGATAAAGCATAATTTTTTTTATAAGCTTTAAGCATTCAACATACATTGATTGATTGATTGATTTGATTTGATTTGATTTGATTTTTACCCCGCCCCTCTAGACTACGTCTACTCGGGGCAGCTTACATAGGTTAAAACACATTAAAATAAACATATATAATACAATTATTACAGTTAATTCTAACCAGCATGTTTCCAAGATGGCAAAACTCAGAAAGAAGAAAAAGAAAAAAACACACACTTAATTGACTGGGGGGAAGGCCTGTTTAAATAACCACGTTTTTAATTGGCTTTTGAAAGCACGCAGCGAGGGTGCCAGCCAGATTTCAGTAGGGAGGGTGTTCCACAGCCGACAGGCGACCGCTGAGAAGGCCCCAGTTTCTAGTTTTCTCCTTCCGGGCCTCCCTCGGCGTCAGTCCCCTCAGCCATCCCCGCTGGCTATGTCGGGTGACTCGGGTAGATCTGGGCAGGAGAAGGCGATCTGCCAAATATTGAGGTCCCAAACCGTTTAGGGCTTTATATGTAATCATTAACACTTTGAAGTCGATGCGGAAATGAATAGGCTACGAGTGCAAGGCAGCCAGAGTGAGGGAGATATGCTGATATTTTCTCACCCCACTGAGAAGCCTGGCTGCTGCATTCTGGACCATCTGAAGTTTCTGCATCAACCTCAAAGGCAGCCCCACGTAGAGTGCATTACAATGGTCTAATCTCGAGATTACGAACGCATGGACTAGAGTAGTGAGGCCCCCCCCATCAAGATACGTCCACAGCTGGGCAATCTGCCATAGGTGATAATAGGCGGAGCAGACCATGGACGCCACCTGGGTTTCCATGGTAAGCGCCGGGTCCAGATGTATCCCCAAGCTGCGGATCTCACTCTGCGGCAAGGGTCGTCCCTCCAAAGGAAAGGGAGTCACCTATGCCGCTGATGGAGGGGCCACCCACCCTCAAGACCTCCGTCTTGTCCAGGTTTGGACAAAGTGGGATCACGCAGCACTCATTTGAGATCTTAATAAGGTGTTATTCTTGTTATTGGATCAGTTATGTTTGATTTATGCCATTTCAGGATGGAGCTCCTAATCATGATTCCGCAGTCTAATCCAGTTATAAATTTAGCTTTAATGGTCATATTTCACTACACTGTAACAGAGGCTTGTGGATGAAGCTGACTGCATCTGATCCCACAAGCTGGAACTTAACAGCTTGGATCCAGCAAATTGTGCTCATGGGTATTTCTGCTTCCAGCATCAGGCCCAAACAAAATAAGTCGCATGCTCTTTCAGTATCCTGAATCCAGATGAGTTTAACTGATTCTCAAACTAGAATGAGCTTGTTTCCATTTGTCCTTCTGCAGGCTTAAGATTTCTGCTTCTAGATACCCAGAGCAGTACGCAAATTGTTCTCAGGTCTTTTCTTCCGAGGAAACACTGTCCAAACTTCAAGCTTTTAACAGTATGTGAGAAGAATAAGAAAATGGATTGCTACAGGACGAAACCACAAAGCTGACCAGTTAGTTCCCAGTTTACTACTCCTAATTCAGTATGCAGTATTTCATACTCAATCAGACTAAAATAAAAGTTTATTAAGAATAAGATAAGTAGGTGTCACAATAAAAATGAAAAGATTTCTAGATTAATTCTTGTCTAGGGATGCAAAAATGCCTTTCGGTATGCAAGTGCCTGGAAAACTTGAGAGACAGTGTTTTATTTGTAATTTCAGCACATTTTGCACTGATCTGATTAGAAAAGATCAAGACTGCTTCAAAACCTTTGGCTTTTAAATAGGCTTTAAAGTGCAGGTTAAATAAATAGGGGTTGAATAAATTCTCATGTTCCTTTAAACCAGCCCACATTATGTTTGTCCCTGTTGTGGGGAAATTTCTGCTAAAACATCTTATCAAGTATGCCCTGCTGTGAAGCTGGAACTTTTCACGAGGCAAGCTGGAACTTTTCACGAGGCAAGCTGCGGAGATACATGGATCCCCACATGCTGTTGGACCGGTACTCCCACCAGCCATAGCCAGCACGGCCAGTGATGAAGGATGATGGTACTGTAGTTGAAGTTGAAGTTTAGTAACATTTGGAGGACTGTACTTTGTCCAATGCTGCTCTGAAAATGGAGCTGCAGGTATTGCTAATTTATAATTGAGAGCCTTGTTTCCCCATGTGATCAAACCTTTACTTTAGCATAGTAAATCTAAGTTAGTGTGATTAACTATGCTGAGCAACAAGATTTGGGCCAGTGTATATTTTGACATTTTCTTTATTTTGAGGCAATGTAATAAAGAGCTAAACCATATGTCAAGAATGATTCCCATTTTACTGAAAAGATTCACAGCAACATCTAGGACTTAGATTCGAAATCCTCATCCTCTTCTGTTAGCCTTAGACTTTTTGTGAAAACTTCATCATGTCCAACAACTTTATCACATTTTTGTTTGCCACATTGCATTTCAGATTTCTGTATTTCTGATTCAGTGTTGACTGGCATAGATTTCTCTCCACATAGCTCTTTCATCTACTCCACACTTCTACCTTTGACATCAAGTTTCAGTAAATTATTACTATCTGTGTCTAGTGACCATTGACATTGTTAAAATATGCTGGTTAACCTCAGTTCTCTTTAATGCATATTAAAGAAGTCATGGATCTTATCTGTATTTGCCATTGTTGGACATTGTTTCCACCATCATATTTCTTTGGCTTTCCTAGTTTTGCTTCAGATATTCCTATGTAATTCCTTGTACAGTATTTAAAAGGGAAAGGGAAAGATTCCCCTTGACATTTTTAGTCCAGTCGTGTCCAACTCTAGAGGGCGGTGCTCATCCCGTTTTCAAGCCATAGAGCCAGCGCTTGTCCGAAGACAGTTTCCATTGCTACATGGCCAGCGTGACTAGGGAACGCCATTTTACCTTCCCATCGAGGTGGGACCTATTTATCTACTTGCATTTGCATGCTTTCGAACTGTTAGGTTGGTGAGGAGCTGGGACAAAGCGACAGGAGCTCACTCCATTGCGTGGATTCGATCTTACGACTGCTGATCTTCTGACCTTGCAGCACACAGGCTTCTGCGGTTTAACCCACAGCGCCACCACGTCCCTGGGATACAGTATTTAACACCATTTTATTCCTATATTTTTCTCTCTCCCACTAACTCTAGTATTTCCTCTGTCATTATGTTTTTTAAAATATTTTTCCATTTCCACTTTTATATTTTCTTTCATTGGAGGCAAGCTATAGTGATGTGGCAGGATTATTATCTGAACTTACATCAGCTTCAGGATAGGTTTGCAGTGATTCAACTCTGTTTCAGTATTTCTGGTTAACTAAGATGCACGGCCCTTTACCATGTTAGCACTCTCTTCTGGAGATTTCCATGTATATGGTGTCCTTGGTGATAATTTGAATGTGGTGTTGAAGAGAACACAGGTTTCTTTTCACAAAATGGTAAATTAAAATAAAATAAAATTAATTTTAAACAAAAATTACACTTTAAAGTTAAACACATTAACATTAAAATGTCGGCATGATGCTGTCAGTGTCAGAACAAGTGTAGTTTTGCTTCTTAAATATTTGGCAATACATACTGAGGCTAAAAGGTAGGCTAAAGGTAAAGGTAAAGGTTCCCCTTGACAATTTTTGTCCAGTCATGTTCGACTCTAGGGGGCGATGCTCATCCCCGTTTCCAAGCCATAGAGCCAGCGTTTGTCCAAAGACAATCTTCCATGGTCACATGGCCAGTGCGACTTAGACACGGAACGCTGTTACCTTCCCACCGAGGTGGTCCCTATTTATCTACTTGCATTTGCATGCTTTCGAACCGCTAGGTTGGCGGGAGCTGGGACAAGCGACGGGTGCTCACTCCATCGCGAGGATTCGATCTTACGACTGCTTGGTCTTCTGACCCTGCAGCACAGGCTTCTGCGGTTTCGCCCGCAGCGCCACCACGTCCCTTGAAAGGTAGGCCACTAAACTCAAAAATAAAATCTAGGTCATGACTGAACTCGTATCATATGAACTTGTGTATTCCATGAAAAATGTGCAATTTGGCATATTATTTGAAATGATTGCCTGAGGTACCGGATTTTCATTTTAAATTTCTCACAAGAACTTTTCTTCAGCCTGTATGTTGTGTAGATCAGGAGAGGAGTGGGTGCTGGGGGGGGGAGAGAAAAAACTGAGCATAATGAACAAAATTTTATGTCAGTTTTGCCAGGAAATATGCCTCCTGTGAATATGTAAAATTAGCATGCTAAATAAATGGCTGCGAGCATTGAGACTAGGGTTAGGTGACATCTCATATTAGAGTCACAACTTGCATAGAGTATCAGCTGTTGTGTCCACTGTGACAATAATGAAACATTCTGTACAGCTCTTACAAACACATTCAGTGTAGCATCTGGAATTGCTGGCCTCATGTTCAGTCCACCTTGCAGAGCACTATCTGCTCTCCAGTCCATTTATGCCCAAGCATTGAGACTAGGGTTAGGTGACATCTCATATTAGAGTCACAACTTGCATAGAGTATCAGCTGTTGTGTCCACTGTGACAATAATGAAACATTCTGTACAGCTCTTACAAACACATTCAGTGTAGCATCTGGAATTGCTGGCCTCATGTTCAGTCCACCTTGCAGAGCACTATCTGCTCTCCAGTCCATTTATGCCCAAGATGATGATTCATGTTCAGTCCACCTTGCAGAGCACTATCAGTCCATTTATGCCCAAAATGATGATTCACTTGGCAACAGGTTTCATGGCCTGATCTGCTCCTATAGTGACACTCTGTTCCCTCATATCTAACCTGAGTTCTCTCAGCTGCATCCTAATCTCATTATTTCTCTTTCATTGAGTAAAGAGAGCAATTGACCTTGCCCTCTGCTTGACTCCTGGCTCTGGCTGTGCACAATCCTCATTATCTCTCCAGCCTTGTTTTCACTTTCTCTTCCTTCCTTCCTTCCTTCTCCAAGCTAGCTCTTAATGTACCACCCACACATTGGCAATATGAATGCTGATGGCAACAAGATCCTATCTATTTATCAGCAAGCATATGTCTCTAGTGCGCGTTTGTATGTAGCCAACATGACACCATCCTCATGAAATAAGCAAGGTATTGGCAAGACTGGGGAAAACTTCAAGATTTGTAACAATCCAAATGAATATATTTTGAAAAAAGGATGATATTCCCCCCCCCCAAAAAAAGCTCAGTGTGCACTGAATATGTTAGTGGACGCTGGAAAGGGCAAAGGGGAAATGGAATAGGGTGGGGTATGCTAGTAAAAGGGATGGGTACAGAATCTTAGACTGCAGCATTTTTTGAGGATCACACCTGAAAGAAAATCAGCAGACAAAAAGAAAAGAAAACAAAACCCACCCAAGTTGTCATGTGAATCTGAGGGGAGAAAGTAGCAAAGTAAGATGTGCAATGGGAAATATTAATTTGATGAATTGCAGTAATTTCCTTTCAAGACAGTATATTCTTAATGATTCTACACTATAACTGCTGCACTGTTTATACAGTACAGTGAGTACTGGCCCCGTAACATTCTCTGGCCCCAATCCTCTTGCAAGTTATGCTGGTGTGACACACACAGTGAACCTTTTGGAGGTGAATTGCCTTCAGAAATCACCATAGTCCTAATCAATTACACACCGAGTCGTCTGTTTGCCATTTACCACCAGAAGGTATGCTGTTTGTGTAGCTACACATGAGGATTTTGACCTTTATTTCTCAAACATAAATATATCCATGTTGTTAATGTCATGCAGGGGTGAGAATGTGTACCGGTCCCGGGGCAGAACTGCCCCAGTCCCAAGCCAGCAGACCAGATAGTGTTATGGGGCCATGCCATCTTCCCTGACATCATCCAAACCCTTCCACTTCTTTGATGTCATTTTCTCTTTTTCCATGCAAATTGGGGCACAAAGTCTCACGCCTCTCTCTGCACAAAGAGTGGCCTACTTTCTAGTGTTCACTCCTGTTGTACTAGTTAATTTTAACAGAAATCACCCATATAACATTTTTTTTACATCCATTTGAACTTTAAAAAGAAGTATCTTTCAAGAAAATCTTATGTTTTTCACATCTTGGAATGGCTTGCTTTCACTACTAGACACTAAGAAAATGGTAGAATGCTCATAATTATGTTTTAAATTCCAGCCCAGCTTGTGAAACAGTAATTATGGTCCTACCATTAGTAGACACATGTAGTTTTTCTACTGCTCGTCCCCTAATAACTCACAGCAATATTGCATCTATTTAATACATATATTGTTTCATGGCAGACTTATGAAAAGCTTAGATACTAAGTTTAGACTAGGAATTAATGTGCTAGTTTAAATTAACTTTATTATCTTTATTAGACCACCGTAACACATTCTACATAGGGCTGCCTTTGCAAATGGCTGAAAAGCTACAGCTAGTGCAAAATGGGTCAGCCAGACTATTTATTGTCTGATGTACATTTTTGAGACCATATATTAGCTGCGCAAGATTTTATGTTTACAAGATCAATTTAAGGTGCTAGTTTTGCTCAATAAAGCCCTAAATAGTTTGAGACTGTGATACTGGAGAGACTACTTTCTTCTGTCCCAGCACCTGAACTTTTCAGCAGAATCTCTGTTTGATGTCTCACCTCCCCAAGAAGCTTGGTTGGTAGATACACAAGACTTGGCTTTCTCTGTAACAGCAGCTCAATTATGGAACTACTCCTCCCCCTGAGGGAAATAAAGCTGACTCCATCACTGTTGAGCAGCTAAAACTGTATGATTCTGAAGGGCTTTAGTCTCTAGGAACTTTTAAAACTGTTTTTTAAGAGAATGGCTAGATCTGCTTAAATAGTGTTTCTTAATACTTTTTTTAAATGATTTTAATTTGTTTTAAGAATGCCACTTTGGTGGGAGTCCTACTGGGAAGAAGGGCAATAAACATATGTTTCAAAAATAATAAATAATAAATAATAAACAAGACTGGGCAGCGTTTATAGTATAGCCACAGATATGCAGGATTAGGCATTATCATCCAGAATAGGCATTTTTAGAAGAAACTAAATGACATGTGCATATAATTTGACCATTTGCTGGATCCTCTCCTCATTCTATTTAAACTTTTCAAGGTCATTGTTTTATAAAAACATTTTAATATCTTAATTATTTTTAATGCTATACTGATACTTTTCAATATTGGTAACAAATGTTTTTATGAATATTTAACATGGGGACTTGCCATAGTTTTGTAGAAGCAAGTCATCAGTAATTCTGCAGCAGTTGCTTAAAAACTAATGGCTGCTAACTAAGTGTGTGAAAATAAAGTGCCCTAAATCTTCTGACCCGTATATGTTGTCCTCATCATAAGGTTTCCAAGAGATTGCCATGAATAATTGTATTACAGCTGGGCTTCCTTTCTTATCTGAAGACTAAATGCAACATTAATTCAACCTGAAGTAAAATTGTTGAACTCAATGGAACTTAGTAAGTAGTGTGGCTAGCAAATTTAGTTAATTTTGGTGCTGGTGATCTAGTGTTGGATTTAGTCAGAGCCCACCATATGTTGCTTCAGGCAATTTAGAGGTGTCATATGGTAGGCTTTTAATTGTTATTGCATTTACCTGATTGGCTGTTTCTACTCTTGCACAGTGTAATGCTATGTATGCTGATTCAGAAATAAAACCACCTCTGTTTAGTGGTGATTAACCCCAAATAAGTGTGCAGCAGATCACACTATTAGCTGCATTTAATTACATAATTGGTCTTCAAGCTATAGACATTGGGGTACAATAATCTAATTTACTAATCTCTTCTGTCTTCCTTCTTCCAAAACGGGATCCAAGATCATACTATAAGAAGAGGTGTGTCGTGTCCAAGAGTTTAACCTTTCGAACGTCATCAAAAGGAATAAAGCTCTGAGATCTAATCTGTGAAGGATAGGTTTTCCTAGCCAAGATGCACTTTCTCCATAATTTAGTAACTGAAATCAGCTTAGAAGAATTCTTGTTTTTCATAGCTTTCTGATCTCTCCAGCGTTCATCTGTCTTATGAAGCTACTTCACTATGAAGTCCCACAAAGGGAGAAAATGATGTTTTTTCTGCACACAGTAACAGTTTCTTCTAATAAAACTATGTTTACCTCACTATACCACACTTCCAGGAACTGCAGACCATCTCTTGACTCCACGTTGCTGTTTAGTGCCATTTTAACAAGTACCCTTCAGTTATATGAGCACAATCTACTGCATATTTGCTTTGCTAATTTATATTTTTAATGGGCACTCCAAATGTGTGAGAAAATGTGCCCTAACCAAATCACTACACATTCTTGAAACATTAATTTTGTGGACTACCCACTGTGATTTTTTTAAACTGATTTGTGAAACAAAGAAATGGGGTTGGTACAAATTACACTCGGATAATCTGTTTGTATCCTCATGAGCTGCTTCTACTGATGCCTCAGTCATACATTTAAAGGGGTGGGGTGGGAGGAATAGAACTGCAATGTGTCCAGATGATTTAGTATCCATATCAGTTACACAGTTCAAATATTCCCTAGTGGTGGAGGCGGCAGCAGCTGTTAGCTGATGAGTCCTGATGTTGGACTGCACCCCACTAATCAATCAAGGTGAAAAATGCTGATTTGGAAAAAGCAAGGTCTAGACGCACAAACAAGGCTGTAGAGGCAAATAGTGATAAAACAGTGTAAGATCATTTTTGTGCTTTGCTTTTCTCTCACACTGTGCAACAGTGCTTCACTTGTGCTGGGGGCATATGCAGAAGGAGGTCTAGATGAATGATGGGAAAACATTTCCACATCTGTGTTTCATGGTTCTGTAACACTTTCTTCCATGTTTTCTTTTCAGAGTTAGACGGAAAAACAGGACAAAATTGTTCAGGATTGTAACAAAAATATGCATTTTTGTAACTAAAATTTTAAAACATGTTGGGGGGAAAATCAACAAATTCCTCATAAAATCCTTTAAAAGCCATTTCCTTTTTAAAAATGTGAACTGAGTTACCCAGCTCATTAAATGTCAAGGTAGAAAAGCAACAAAATACAACAACTTAAATTGCTGTCTTAGAGGCATTTCATACAAATGTTGCAAGGCAGAATGGACATGTATGGCTAATGTTTATTTTGGGAATCTGCAGAGGATAAAATATTCAAGGACACACATTACATGAACAAGATCACCAGCTGCTTTGGTGTGTGATCTTGATAGATGAACCCAATTATTTCTTTGGTTGCATCTTCTCATTATGAAGGGAAGCACTGCCTGTTGTTTTGGTCAGGATGTTATGATAAGCATATGAAGAATAATTCTGTAGTTTTACATTAGTTGCAAATAGAGATGGTGACTGTTAGAGAATATGTTGAATATAAAATCAAACAATGTTTTGTTTTTATTATTTACTAATTAACATATTTCTAGCTTGCCCTAGATCAGATCTCAGGAAAGGACAGAACTGCTAAAACAATTTGAAATGAACTCTGGAAAATTGCAGTGCACCACAGTCATCAACATTAATAACAAAACAACAAAACAAATCTCGACTGAATTGCAAACAAAGCCTGAAGAAAATGCCACCAAAATTAAACCAGAATAGGTGCCAAGCAAGCCTCAGGAGAGAAAAGTATTCAAAAACTGTGGTGACATAATTTGCCTTTTGCATCATCTCCATGTTTTATATTCCCACTGGTAGGACATGGAGGACTTGCATGACAGATGTTGGTATTCATGCAGGGAACTAGTGATTGATTTTGCCAAGAAGTAGCATCAAATCTTCCTTGTCCCATAAAAGAACATTTTCTTGCATAACTCAGAATCAAGGCCATAATCCTTGAAAAGTGAGAATCATAATATGGAATGTATTTATGTGCCTGTAAATTTACTGCACAGATGTGAAATCCATTATCTGATGTGAATACAGTGTCTGAATATTGTAATATCCTTTCTTTAAAATAGACAAGTTTCTGTCCATCATAGTAGTCATAAAGAAAAACTTGTATATACACACGTTAGTATATCAGTGAAATCTTAAACCTGAAAGCAGCTGGCTGAGGAATATTATTCTGATAATTTCAGTGCCCTACATATCTTACTAATAGTATATGATTATTGTTCCCTTAGATAACACCAGTTTCCCTCTCCTTCCACTCCTTTTTTAACCACCTCAATCCTGATAGAATTCCATGGCATGTTACTAGTACAGCAATGTGCAAATAAAGACCTGGACCCCGTTCAGTTGTTCTGCTCATGGAACTGCTTCCATCGTTGGAAATGGGAGTTAAACAATAATCTCCCTCTTGCAGCCTCCTCTTCCAGTCCTCAAACTGGCTCCGGAGGAGGGCTGGGAAAGCCTGGAGAAGACTTTCCCAGCAAGGGGTAGGGTGGGGGGAACTAGCCAGTATCCTCCAGGGTAATTCTAGATGGAGGCTTAAGAAACTAGATGACAGTCTAGTTCACTTAGTATGAGAACAGAACTTGGGATTTTTTATATCCATTCACTGCAGAACATTAATAGAGCTTTCACAATTTCTTTCTTTGTCAGGCTACAGCATTTCTAGTTGACTGGGGGAGGGGCATGATGAGAAATTTATTTATTATTTCAAGTTCTATACTGGCTGAACAGTGTGAACACTCCCTGGGCAGTTCACAACCCATCAAAACACAATTACAGTCAGTCATACAAATAAACCCACAAAATGCAATAAATGTAATAAAAACCTTGCCTCTAGCTGAGTTGGTAAAACTGCATTTAAATAAATAAAACATTTAAAACAAATTTGAACAACCCAGGTCAATTAGTTAAAATACTATCAAAAGACAGTTTTATGCAGTTCGGTTTTAATTAACTTCCTGAAAACTGAGAGGGATGGCTCCCAACAAACCTCTGTAGGAAGCTTATTCCAGAGGAAAGGGGCCACAAGTTCCTGGTCTTAGCTTTTATAACCTCCCACAAGGAGCAGATGAGACAGGATGTTGTTTTGCGAGATACACATTCTGACAAGTATTGAGTACCAAACCATTAAGGACTTTATAAGTCATAACTTGCATCTTGAATTGGGCACGGAAACTAACAGGGAGTCAATGAAAGTGTGCCAAGACTGCTCATGTGTGTTCATATCCGTTGATACCTGTAATCAGACTGGCATTGCATTTTGGAACTGCTAGAGTTTCCATACCAACTTCAAAGGCAGCCCTACTTAGAGAGCATTACAGTAGCCTAGAGAGATTACCAATGCATGAACCACTGTTGAGAGACATTTAATATCCAGGTTGGGGTGCAACTGGGCAATGAGTTCCTCCATAGAGAGAGCCAGGTCCAAGAGCACTCCCAAGCTGTGAACCCAATCTTTCAGAGGGAATGTAATCCCATACAGACTGGGTAAAGTTCTCTCTAACCAATCTGATGATCCACACATCAGGATCTGTCTTACTTGGATTCAGTTTCAGTTTGTTGGCCCTCCTCCAGTCCATTACTGAGGTAGCATTGGGTAGCAATGGCAAACCTCCAATAAGACATGGCAAAAGCTCTGTCCTGTCCCACCAAATAATTGGTGTGATTTAAGTAAGAACAGAAATGTGCTTGGCACGTCTTTCTTAACCTATCTCTCATCAAAGGCAGCACAAATGCCTTCAATCTCTCAGAGCTTTTTCCAAGAATCTTGTTGCCAAATGAAAATAATGAAGCATTTTGAAAACACTAAAGTACTGTTAGAATTGATGATGATGCACTAGGTCGCCAGGCATATTCAAACTGCATGTGTGCGTGTATTTTCTACCTTGTTTTCATGGCAGCTTCAGAGATCTTTTCCCATCTCAGTAAGGGGATAAGGACAATGCATACAAGGCACACTATCACATAAATAGGCCTTGAAAACCTGTGGATAGTGCTGGTAGGTGCATAGACAGACAGGCCGCTGCTTAGCAGGAAGGGATTCTGAATCAAGAACTCTGGAGAGAGATTCTCACAGCTAGGTGCAAATCTCTGCTCTCTTGAAATAACCCTCTTAGTTCAGTAATTTATATACAGAAGCAGCATCTCACCACTTAATTTCGTTACCATGGAAAGGACTGGCATTTCTTCACTCTCTGTAGGTGAGCAGACAAACACAACTGGATGCTTCTCTTTCCCACTTCATTATGAGTGCTACTCTTTGTCCCCTCTTCTCAGGGAGTTCAAACTTACAGAAGAGTAAGATGGTGCACATATAATATAGCAGTAAAATGTGTTTCCTGCATGTTAAAAAGAAACTATGATAGATGCAGAGAGTTGTCTGCATTCTAAATAGAGTAGAACTGAGGCATGCAAAAAGTTATGTGCAGAAATTCTTACATGAAACTTGCTCTTTTACAACCTGATAGTATTAGACTGAACAAGCTTAATGTGTGAGGAGTTGTGGTCATATTATATTTAAATTTTTCATTGTTAATGCAAAAAAATCTACTACTATAGCATCCTTGATAGACAGCTATTTAGATTCTGCTAAATAGCAAGCAAACAAATCTAGTCCAGTCCAATCCATCAGCTTCCAGGTCAGTCTGTTCCACTGTCAAAATGACTTGTACCACCCAGAAATGCAAAGCTCTTCTTAATGTTTATTTTGCAGTCCTCTTTTTCTAAATTCCCTGCCCCCAATCCTGTCTTCTGCTGCAGTGCTTTTGTTATCAGGAATATCTATAATCAGCCACAAATACTGTATAATATGGGAACTGCAGCAGTGATAACACACAATTAATGTACACTGGGTAAATATCTTTTAAAAAAAGAGCCTAGAGATGATCTCTTAGTGTCACCAACTTTGTACCTCTTAAATAATGCCAGAGTTATATAAAGAAAATATCATTACACAACATTAAAGTAGGCATTGCCAAGAAAGTGGCCTTCCTCTTTTGTGTGTTCATTTCAGAAAAGCAGAACTCACATTTTGTGTGGAATATGCCTTTCAGAGACCATCAGAATCAAATGAAGATTTGCATTCCTGTCCTAACATTGTTCTTCCAAATTCAAAAGCCTTTGCAGATAGAAGAATGGCAAGCTGATAGAAGCCTCATGGTGCAGTAGTTAAACCGCTGTACTGCAGCCAAAACTGTGCTCATGACCCAGGGTCCTATCGTGGGTAGCTGGCTCAAGATTGACTCAGCCTTTTATCCTTCTGAGGTTGGCAAAATGAGTACCCAGCTTGTGGAGGGGGGGGGACAATGTATAATCTGCGTAATTAACTTGTAAACCATCCAGAGAGTGCTTTACGCGCTATTGGGTGGTATATAAGCAGCGCATTTTGCTTTGCTTTACCCTGCCTATACTGTTTTGCTCTAGAGTAACTTAAGTATTTGAGGAACCTAGAGCAGCTGACCGTTGTTTCTTGGGTGTGTAATGATCACCTCAGTAGCTGGTCTATATTTAAAAAATTCCCTGAGACTTGGACAGATCTTGACATCAGAAGCACTTGGAAAAATATTATTTGTATCATCCATTTTGCAATATCTAAATGATGGCTGAAATCCAGTAGAAATTGCAGCTAGAGCAGGCCCAGGTGATCCGTGGAACTTATGGAGAAGCTGACTCACCAACCCCCATTGATTCACTGGGCCTACTCTAGTTGCAACTTACGGCTGGATTTCAGCCAATGTCTTTGTATGTGTTACTCTTTTCTTCTTGTTCCTTTCCTACCAAATTTGGACATCACAGCTATACTATCCTAACTTGGATGCAGCACACCTGAGCAATGATGTGTTGCAGCCAACCTGTATTTGCAGTTCTTCTGTCAAGAAGTTCTTCCTGCATTTCTTTTCTCGTATCTTTTACCTTGAATGATCACTGCAACAATCTGCATCTCCAGTTTTAGTTTGTTGTGTCTGTGCGAATCCTCTCTTTAGTCAATTCTGACTTATGCAGACCCTTTTCAGGGCTTTCTAGGTAGAGAGTACTCGGATGTGGTTTACCATTCCCTTTTTCTGGGGGCAATAGAGCAGCTACTGAAAAGTAAGATGAGAACAGTTCACAAAGCAGTTGATACTAAGACAATATTAGCTTTAGGACATTGAGCCTAAAATTAAACAAACTTTAAATCTTGGGATCTTTTATTTGTTTGGACTTTTTTTAATCTGGATTTTGCAAACAACGGTTAGATTAGAATGAATTTTTAATGGTACTTATTAAATACATTGAATTTTATTTTCTTTTAAAGGTTTTTTGTGCTTTAAAATTCATAATATGAGGCTTCAAGATTAAAGTTATAAATCTGAAGAATTATGTATGCATAGGAGCCCTGGGGTGTAAAGATTTTTTTAAAATCCATTTTAAAGAGAGCCCAGATCAGGCTCATGATGGCTCCACTACGACATCTATCTATATCTGAGAATGACTTTGAAGTGCAGCTTAGAGACATTCACAGGACCAAAGAAAACAAGAAAAAGGGGGGTAAAGACTGGAATGTTGTAATATTTGTAAACAATGAGACAGGTTTTTAGTGGTAGACTTACGATGTATAGATATGTACATTACAACATCACACCCAAGCAGTCAGTCAGTATTGGGAGACTTAGGGGGAAATTGTGGCTTGTTAATTTTGTGTAAGTATCTGAAAGTAACACATGCTTTGAAAGGCATAATTACCCAAATCTTCTCATCTTTGTTATTATTTCCAACTCAGATATAGTAGGAGCAAACAAACAAGTACTGCATTTATTTGACATTTGTTGCACATTTAAAGTATTATCATCTCAAAGCTGTGCTTATCCTGTTTGAGTGGGCTGGGGTCTTGAGTCTTTTCCTGAGCAAGTAAAAAAATCTAATTCAGGTGTTCCACTGAAATAACAAGTGTTTAATTTCAATAAGCCACCTACTTTAGCATCAAAAACTAAGTGGCTGATGGTGAATATCTAATGCTCCAGATGCATCTCTGGGATATTTTATAGCTGCTCCATTAGTATTATGTTGGTGCAGTCACTGTAGCTCTAGCCACTGGAGTGTCCACACATGGATCAGGATAGGAAGAAATCCATTGGTTAGAGGGGACTATGAAGTGATACTGACAACACCTCTACAGCTGCTGCCGCCTGAGATAACCTCACACAAGTATCCTTTCTGATCTATTATGGCCACAATACCAAGCAGCTAAAAGCCCCAGTGGCCAAGGGGCATACAGGCAGCAGAGCAATGGATGGACATTTGTATCCATTACAGAATGATGCAATGGTGGAAATGTATCCAGTTCTGACTAACCTTTTCCATGAGCACTGAGAACAGTTTTTACTTTTCAGTACGTCTGTATATGATCTAGCTCTGTTTGTCTGTTCCTCTGTATGTACAAAAAGTATATCACAATGTTGCCTTTTTGTTGGAAACATCTAAGTAAAAAGATTGTAAACCAAATCAGTGTAATAAAAGTTCCAGATGATTCACAATGTTCGATGTGTGTATGTCTCATTTTCTATATAGTTTTTGTAAACTGGATATGCCCCTGCTAAGTGTTGTCATATGCCTAATCTTCTGCAAGCCTGAGATTGGGGGAAACTAGTCACTAGTTTGGAACAAAAGACTATGCACAGCCCAAATTAGCTAATGTTTGTGGTATCATCACTGCTACCCTCCCCTGAGCAGCTTTAACATGTTTTCAAGAGACATTCCACTGTTTATATAAGACTGAACATTTGTTTACACAAATGACACTTTAAAATTTTTAAACTAAGGTCAGTTACACTAGGAAAAAATAGCAGTATTTTAATCAGGTTGAATATGTTTTATATTGATTTTTAAAAGCATGACTACTTGATGCACATGACAGTGCAGATTGTTTTGACAAGGAATCATTACATTTTGACCAGAAGCAAAGTATTTTACTCTTCCACCAGTGGGCCATTTATTTTAAGTCAGATGTCAAATTGATTTCATTTGATTCACCATATGTGAACACCACTATTGGCGTTAATTTTATCAAGCTCTCCCATTGACTGATTCTAGCAGCCATTTACTCCTGCTGCTATGGTCTTATTTTTAATTGTTTTTTAAAAAATCTTGCTATCTTGTACAGCACTATACAGACAACAAGAATTAAATATATTTAAGAAGGAAGGAGAGGGGATGAGAAGGAAAGAGAAAAGGGAAAAGAGTGGAGAGAGAGAATGAGAGAGAAAAGCAGTGCTTGAGGTGGCTTACAAATCAATTAAAATAATAAAAGAGCTGTTTACCTGCTCTCTGAAGGAACCAACCACCAGCTCCTTTCTGTACAGCATTTTAAAAAACCACTGGATTAAAAGTTGCTCCAGGGAACAAACACAGCAATTCATACGCCGCATGACTGCCACATGACTTTAAATTGATTTCAATAACATTGCTGCATATTTCAAAATATTCCACTAATGTAACCCCACTTCAAGAAAGATCTCCTGAAGCTTCTGGTACTAAGAAAGACTGGTGACATAATGGTGGAAATGCTGGGAAACCTGCGAGAACCACAGGAAGTCAAATTCAGACAGTAGGAATTAAAAATGCACCTAACTGTGTTGGAAAGTATATCTGTATGGGTCAATCATTTTTGGTTGGAGAAGAAAATGGCGCTAGTGACTGCCTTGGCCATACGATGGTCCTGTTACAACACGTTTTATCATTCCTGAGAGTAGTCATTCCTGGATGAAATATAAATGATATACTGTACTGTATGGTTGTCAAGAGGAATTTCTGGAGGTGCTTTCTCAGTTTTGCTACTCCCTTTGTCCAGTGGTTTACTACAGAAAGAGTCCTGAGTATCTTCCAAAAGTGCTAAGAGATGTTTTTGTTTTAGCAGGTTTTTGGTGGGTGCAGATAAACAGATGTTGCTCTATTAGCAGTTGTGTATAATGTACACTTTTGAGTTTTTTTTTCTTTTGTTGTTTAAATAATAGAAGCTATTTGGAACCTATAAAATACATTAGGAAATTAGTTTAAATAAAATAGTATGTTCTATGGCTAACATTTGATTCTATTTAAATTAAACTTGACAGGAGTTGTACAATAACCAGTAGCTAGTCCTAACTGGAGCAGAGTGACTGAATTAACTGCTGAATGCTAAGTCCACACTTAGGCAATTTTTTATTGATCCAATAGGTCTCCTCTGGTTTGAAATACAAACGTGAGTCCACACATATATGTCTATACTTCTTAACATGGTGCTTCTGTGATGAGTTTGAAAAATATACCAAAAAAACTAACATTTCCTCCATTTCACCACTAGTATATGCCAGCATATTATTTTGCTTAGTAACAGTATAGATTAGTCACTAGAGGTAACATTATTTAAAAAAAAAAAGGAATACATTAAAATTTCTAACACTTAAAATATTATTTCTCAGCAAAACTACTATGACAGAAAGCTTTGAAAGATGCTGTGAAGCTAAACATTCTGAGGCTTGTACATACATCTACTGAATGTTGGTTATCTAAATAACAGCATTTCAGGTTTATAAATAGCAACTTCACAGTGCAAGCACTGAAAAACGATGAGGGTGTGCAGCAGAAGGAAGTCATGCTGTTATTGGGGACAAACCTCTTAAGTAGAAAAAAATTAAAATGATTTGGTGCTAAAAATCTCGAATTACATAAGCAATAAAGCACCTGCTGGAATTCTAATGATGTCACTATTGTGTGCTAACCTACAGCAGCAGCCAGAGAAAAGGTTTTTGATCCTGTCTTGTTTTCCTATTTTAACGACTACTTCTTAGTTTTCTCAGCATTGCAGAGAGAAGCTAGAAGAAGCAGGAGGCTTTGGAGGTCAGACTGAGGACACTTCTTTTGATGCTGAAAAAGAAAAATCCTCCCATGGCACACAATGATTGTTACTGTGAAGGGTGTTGCCTGTGCTCCTAGCAATCATCACTTTACCATATTACCACAATTCCTATGTGGTGGTGGTGGGATGTAATACTGAAAGAGACATAACTGGGTCTTAGAAATTTGGATGTTTACATTTAAAAGAAAATTGTATCTAGGAAGCTATTTGAGTCATAACGTATTCCATCACTGTCTCACAATAACCCGCATTTCAAGAAGTCAGTAAGGGCATCTTCCCAGTCACAAGGTTTAGATGTGTTGCTCATTTGCTTAGAACAATGTGTTAGCCTGTCAAAACTATTCATACTCCTACAGATCTGTGAAGTTGGAAAATGTCCTGCCCGTCCTAAATACATTATCTGGAACAAACCCCCAGATGAACTTGTACATGACTTGTTAAGTGATTCATCTGCAACACACATCATTCCCCACAACTTTAGAAGGTTGGTGTTAACTGCCCAGATTTTATCAAGTGGTAGGGATGTAATAGTACAGGCTGATATTGGTGCGTATCAGGGTACAAGCCAGGTATCTGGTTGTTATGATGAAAGGAAACTTGTAGTAAGTAATCCTGTAGTAAGCTTCAGGGCTGCTGCCAGAATTCAGCACCACCAGTTGCAGGTTCAAAAAGCCAGTTCCCTGCTTTTTCCTACTAAAGCCACAGCTTAGCTCAGTGCTGCCTAGTGTCTAGGCAGCAGGACATTACCTAGGGCCTGCCTATGACCTATGAAATGCTGGGCACAGTCAGTGAGGCACTCAATTTTCTTATCTATGTTCTTTTTTATCTGTTTTGTTCTCATCCTTGACATGCTACTTTGATGGCAGGGATATATAACACGAAACAAGAAAAGGTGGCAGGCAAGGGGAGACATAATCAAAATGGTAGTAGGGGGAATGTATCAGTATATATAACCTCAATAAACCATGAACGTCTTTAAAATTCTGTGTATAAAGGGATGTATGAAATTTTGGCCCCTCATTATTCAACAATGTTGTGTGTCTTGCTAATTATGGCATTACACTACTGTTACATTTGTTCCTGATTGGCCAATCAGGCTGTCTGAAATGAACATTTAAATTTATTATCTAATGCGATCAGTGTGTGATTTTAAAATTACTGTATTTTTCAGTGTATAAGACGCCCCCATGTATAAGATGCCCCCCCACTTTTCTAACCCAAAATTAAGAAATCAAACCGGGGCTTAGCAAGTGTAGGGGGAAAGGGATTAAAGCACTGCAGGATCGCTTTGATCCCTGCTTTCTCCCTTTGTGCTAAGCCCCATGGGGCTTAGCAAAAGGAGGGGGAAAGGGAGCAAAGCAATTCCACAACTGCGTGATCGTTTTGATCCCTTCCCCCCTTACACAGCCCTGGGATTGCTTTGATCCTTTCCCCCCTCCTTTTGCTAAGCCCCATGGGACTTAGTAAACAGAGGGAAAAGCAGGGATCAAAGCCACCCTGCAGTGCTTTGATCCCTGCTTTCCTTTTGCTAAGGCTTAGCAAGTGGAGGGGAAAACAGGGATCAAAGCCCTGCAGGATCACTTTGATCCCTGCTTTCCCCGCCACTTGTTTTTCTCTCCTCAGCTTACTTCCATGTATAAGACGACCCTCAATTTTTAGTCTTAGATTTTAGACAAAAGTATAGTCTTATACATGGAAAAATATGGTACAAAGAGGATGTAATCTAAAATTTGATACAAAAGAACAAGGGAAAGCAATGCTGAAGAGGGAAGGTATATATGGTAGTTCCACTTACCTGTACTTTACTTAAAGACTCAGTTTCAGCACGTCATTGGAAATAGATATAAAGGCTTTAAACAAAAGGTATTATGAATTCACATTCAGCCAAGCTCAAACCTAGTTGAGAAGGGAGAATTTCAGACCAGAATGCTTATCTTAAATAAACATAGGTGAAATTTATGATAATATACAGATGTTAGATGACCTCAGGACTTTTTTTCTTCAGGAGAGGTTGGAACATGGTTGGAGCTTGAATGATGTAAGGTTCTGAGCCGGGCTAATTCCTGATTGGTCTTTATAGCCTGGTTAATGAGGTATTCACTCTCTTGTCCCACCTCTGCCAGCCTCAGATCAAATTCCACCACAGTCTTGTTATCAGACATGCCTTCCAGAAGCTGCTTCCCTCCATCCTGGAATCAGTAAGGAGACTATGTTGAAGGCCAAACAAGGTTCACACACACATAAAATGCACATGCATGCACACATACACCCCTCAGGTTTGAAGTATCTATTTCCTACAGTTTCTTGACTAGCATTCCATTTATGTCTAAGGAAGGCTGGACAAAGGAGCAAGTAAGCTTTCTACTCTCAAGGGTAAATATAAAAACAATATGCTGCTGCTTAGACAAAAAAGGGGGAAAAGTCAAACAGGGCTGAGCTACATGTATATGCAAAAAAGAAGCCCCAAACCTTTTATCTTTGGGAGAGACAGTGTAGTGGGCATTTATTCCTTTTCTCAATCTTCCTTCAAGTTGCTCTCCCAAACGAGTGCTCCCTCTTGCAGGGTTTTGAATGTTAATTTTGCAGTTGCAGCACTTAATAAGTATGTCCTATAGCTAGATTTTCATCCTCCCTTTGCAGTTACTACATTATGGACGAAGTGGGAAAGTGCATCCTCAAGCAAAAAAAAAACTGTTTAGAAATAATAAAACTGCTATTGAAAAACTGGAAACATTATATCTGTCTTCACTCATGTCAGAACAGAAAAAAACAACTCGTGGTGGATTAGAATAAACTCTCTCTAATCCAGCATGTTTCTTGCACAGTAGCCAGCAGTTGCCTATGGGGATTCATCCATCATCATTGGTTATGCTGACTAGGTGTGATAGAAGTTGCCGTGCTTAAAATCTGGAGGACCACACAGTCCCCAACTCTGATGTATAGCAGCCACACATTCCATTGGCCTGATCATGTTTCATCTTGAACCTCCCACTGAACTTTGAAGGCACCCAGATTGCCTTCTCAACAGAAAATGAGGGTGAGAAAAAGAGTGATTGTTTGCTCTCTTGTGCTGAGCTTTGGAGGTGTGTCTGAAGCCAGGCAAGCTGCACTGCACTTTCCTTTCAAATGTGAAGCTCAGGATTAGCAGGACAGAGTTTAGCTCTGGTACCTTTTCATGCTGTGTTTCTGTGATGGGCCTCAGTTGGAAGAGGAATACTTCCAAGGCGCCTCATACATCATCTATTCACTAATCTGCAGCTACTTAATGACAAGTGCTCCCACAATGTATATTGTGCTGTACCCTCTGTTACAAAGATGTCATCATGACAGTGGCATCTTCCAACTTTTCAGCACGATGTCAGAAGATGATAAAGTGTTTCTAAGAAAATGCTAGAGATATGTGGCAGGCAGTTCTTCAGGATTCTGGTACTCATTATGAAAAAGATAAGAAATTATTAACACTTTGAGCTCTTGATACTTTTGTAAGACCCAGTGGAAACAATATTTTCATGGCAAGAAGCAGGAAGGGACATGACTATGGTGCATCTGCTATGAGACAGATTTTTAAAGTACATGACAAAGACAGGAGGTAATGTAGAGGCTGAGGACAGAAGCAATGGTAAGTTGGTAGCCCCTAAGTTATGACTTGCACAAATATATCATTGTCAGTCTCCTGTTCTGGATCTTTTAATTTCACCCACAGTTTATAGATGTTAAATAATCATTGAGCTAGATTAAACAACAAAGAGTCCTCTGGCATGTTTAAGATTAACAAGTATTATTGGGCATAGCCTTTTGTGGACTGCAGTCCACTTCTTTAGATATATTAAGTATAGTCTCAGTAGACCTTTGAGTCTCAAAGGTGCTACACAACCTTTTAATTTCACTGCATCAAATTAAAATGGCTACCTTCTTAGGAAAAATGAGGGATTAGAGTAGCAATCCTACACTACAGTAATTTGAGGCATTCGGAATAACACTCTGGAACTGGTTCTTTCCCATAAGCGCAATGTTTCACATTTTGTACTTTTTGATAACCGACTTCCTCTTGACCTTATTACAAATCCATAAAAATATTAATATCTATTTGGTTCCATATACATAAACTTCTACACTCTTCTTCTCATTATCAATCTGCTTTGCAACACCAGGTCTTCTTCTCTCTTTATTAAATGAGACTGGTATATCTGTCATAGCAATGCTGAAAAAACATTACACTGAAACAGTAGGAAATCCCACATTAGGATTAAAATAATTTCTGGGAGAAACAGCCCTGTCAGATATTCAGTTCCCTGAATACATTTCCTATCATCTCAGGTCACATAGCAGCTATAGCTGATGGGAGTCCAATGTCTCTGGAGTGTACTAGGCTCCTTCACACCTGAGCTATATGGATTCCCTGACTGAATGGACAGCTGATACCAGAACACACACAATTGCAGCAGTGAAGCAAGGTAAACTAATACCTGTGGGCCTGGAACTCCTTAGTTCAGAAGCTTTTTAATGTAGCTCTGAACTGGGAATGTGCAAATACAGTAGACAAGATCAGAGATGACAGAACTGATTGTATTAGTCCCGGCTGCAGATGGAACTGTATTGTGAATTGCCCCTTGTGTTAAAGAAACTGCAGATCAAAATCCTCTTCCTGTTATGCCAGAATCAACCTCTATGAGGTTAATTCTGTATAACATGCTTGCCTGTAAGTTAAATGAATGAATGAATGAATGAATGAATGAATGAATGAATGAATGAATGAATGAATGAATGAATGAATGAATGAATGAGCTGGAAAAATCCTCTAGAAAACACATTCTTTATCTGCAGCCCTGCAGCCAGAAGTACTATTCGGTGCATACCCATCTGATCTACCTTCACAAGGTTGACTTCTGGTTCCGGCTCAACCAGGCAGCACACTCATGGCTAAGCAGCAGTGATTTTATCCTTATTTTGTTTAATTTTATATGGTTTTGTAGTTTTTATCTATCTTACTTTCTGGCTGGAGGCATGATTTTAACCTTGTCAAAAGCAAACACAGAGATAATGACCGCTGGAGCTGCCGAGAGACATTAGAAATACCTACTGCCTCTGTATTATACAATTGAATTTTCAGAAAGAAAACAGATGAAATAATAACACCACTACTCCTTCTTCTGGGAACAATGTCCTTGAACACTGAGAGGAGGAGACCTGGCGTAACCCACTAATCTCCAGGAGTCGCCAATAGCTAGTCTCTTATCGTATGCAAGAAAAATGGGAGCCTAAAAGAAGCTGCAACCCTTTCCCCCGGTGGATAGCAAGCATCTACAGTGGACCCTCAACATACGCACGGCTTGATGTGTGTACTTTTTGAGGTACGGACTTCTCCTGTCGCAAGATTTCCAATCAACTTGCAGCTGGAGAATCAATTTACGGACCAGAAGGGGGAGGTGGGGAAAGCGCCAAATTCAAATTTCATGCTTTCCTCGCCTCCCCCTTCCAGTCCGTAGGCCGCCGTGCCTCCGGATAGCTTCCAGGGCTTCTCCGCCACCATGGGAGGCCTCTCAGAGGTCCCCACCCAACGCCGATCATGCACAAAACAAAAAAACCAGGACAACATTTTAAAAAGTTCCCAAAAATTCAAACCAGAAATCAATAGCAGACGTATGTGTACCTCAGATCTCATCAGCCATGCTTCCTCTCATAATCAAAGGCCACTGAGGGAATTTACATCAAGTACTCCACTCACTACAGACAATGTAGGCATAAATAATAGAGAGACCTACCAGGAGGTTGCAGCCAAAACCCCACAGTCTGGAGAGGTGACCAGCAATTGGTCTCTGGACCCAGAACTCCTAGAGAAGGCTCTGTCTGCCTCTATGGATTCACTCTATAAATACCTAAGCCTACCAACCCCTGGACCCAAGGAGAATCATGTGGAGGGAAAAATAGGTCCTCAAGGTGTACAAGGGCTTGAGAGTGAACAAACTAGGATTATTTACACCCAACTACGCAACCAGTGCTTCCTCTCAGCCCAATCTAATCAAAGCATTTTCAACAAGCTGTATGTTTTAAAGCAAAAAAAAAAAATACTGATATTAAAACACTACAATGCATTGCTGACATGATAAAACTGGGGATTTTAAAAGCAGCATCTCCTTCAAATCTTCAGGATACTGAACAGAGAGGACCTCAGGCAAAAAAGGAGCTGGGTACAAAAGATCCAACACAAAAAGATAACTCCCCAGCCTTAAAGTCAGAGATACAGTCACCGAAAAAACAACAACTCAGGACCAAATGTGCATATATCGGCTGACCCTAAAGGCCTGGGAAGACCATATGACCTAGGTTATGCCACAAAGGGGCCCTGACTTAACATCTTCCAATCCAGAGTTATTAACTATAGACAAATGACAGAGAAACACCCCAGAAGAACCCTATCCACAGCATCCACTTGCAGTGACAGCATGAAAGTAAAATATACAGATAGAAAACCCCCAAGGGACAGTAAATTCAGATAGTGAAGAGCCCACTCTGGCTGAAACCCCACCACCAAAGCCCATGAACCATATCACCATATACAATGGCAACTAAGAAAATTAAATGGCACCTGGGCCTCCAGCTGGGAAGTATTGCAGACAATAATAGAAATACTGGGTGAGGACTGGGATGCTCAAATGAATACAAAATGCTACTGTATATATCCCAGTAAGCCTGGGTTATTAAGAGGCAAGCTGCACGTGATCTTTGCCGATAGTGAACAGGCCCATCATTTTTGGAGCCTGTTATACCTTCACAAGGTTGTAAGCGTTTTAAAGACAATGTATATAAAATGTTTTGCAACTCGAAGTTGTTATATAAGTATTATATATTACTATGGAATATTAAGAAGATTTCTTACTAGCCCAATGTGGTTGCAGGAAAGGTTGATGTGTGTCAAAGTAGTATTCTGAGCTAGGACTTGAGAAAAAAGAGTAGCTGTTGGTTCTGATAACTCATTGCCACCCAAGTGAAGAGTTGTCACTGTGCTGTTCACCAGGAGGGCATGGCAGATAGCTTGGCCTCCCTCATCCTCGATACAGTTGAGACGCAGATTTAGGGACGTTAGGGTAGAATTCTTAGACAGGGCATGAGCAATAGCTTGGGCTCCTGTAGCCCGGATCCTGTTATCACAAAGGTTAAGAGTCACCAGCTTGCTGCAGTTGATTAGCTTGCCAACAGCCCGTGTTCCCCGGTCTGCAATCAGATTGTGGGATAAATCTAGCTCTGTGAGTGAGGGGTGGTCTAATAGATGTTTTATCAGTATCCGTGCCTTATCATCATCCACTTTGCTCCGGGTTAATTTGAAGACCTGCAGAAGAAAAATAAGATCATGCTTTTATAAAGAAATTTAAAAATATTCAGATTTAACTTTATTTGAATCTCTGAGAAACTCATTTATTTCTCACTGAAAGCTGAGAAATCAATCATAAGCATTTATCATAAGCACTAAATTTTATCACGATCTCCCCCAAAGGGCTAACAGGTATGCTCAAAAATTTGCATCCACAATAAATTATTTGGAAGTCCATGTAAGTGGAAGGAGGATCTATCCAGTTAATTTTGCCACAACTTCTAAGAGGTCTTCAAATCGAAGAATAAAGATTTCTCCACTGCCTCTAAGCAGACTGAAGGCATTTTTGTGACACCAGCTGGCAGCTAGAGGGGTGATGAACAGCAAGATACAACACACTTTTTCCTTGCCTCTGTGCCTTATACAAATGAGTTTTATGCCTGTACAGATCTTCTCACATGATGTTCTACACCAGAATGGCATTTAGATAAAAGTCCCACCCCTGTTCTTGTGCTTATCTCTCTCAGTTCCATTTTTCCTTCACATTCACTTCTTTTTTTCTGTATAGTATATTGTTGCAGAGAGAGACTAAGAGAGAAAGAGAGAGAGAGATGCATACATTCTCTTAGTCTCTTATTTTTTGTAAATATTTGGAACTTATGTTTTTCCCCTTTTCATTGACTCACTGTCCTCAAGAGTTTTATTTTAAAAGTGTTCATCCTGCAGAGGTAAGATTGTACCTTCCAATCATCATCCTAAAGGCCTTTATTACCTTGGAAAAGGCGACCTCATGAATTGCATCAGATCTGCAGAAGATTTTCTAAACAAGGCCTTCACAGTCCCTCCTATTATTAGGGTGTAGCAGACAACCTTATCATCCGTCAACCAAGAGATCCCTAAACGAAAGAAGTCAGACAATGCCAAGCAATAGGACGAGACTTCTTCACTAGAGATGGGGGTATTTGTACTGTATATGAATACGAATATCTCCGCACAGGTGGCGTTAATGAGGGTCCAGCCCCATGGGGCCAGACGGTCCACTCATTGATCCACCGCGGACAGCATGATTCTACCAATGGCTCCGCAGCACGTGATTCGCTCGGCATTCCTGGCAGAAGGCGGGAGAACAAGCCTCACTGCAAGGTCGAAGAGTGGTTTAGTACAGACGTTCTTCCACAGCCTGCCACATGGATTATACAGGTCAAGATTTTGGTTCTATAGGATTCTCCTTGGGCTTTACTGGAAATACACTTATAGGTCCACTGAATTTAAGAACCACCTCTTATGTTCATTTCTACAACAGACCCAAACAGCTTTGGAAATAACAGGTCTTGCCAAATGTTATATCCATGGAGGCCCCGGTTCATTATATTTCTAACGAGGTATTTTTCTTGTATCTTGCTGAGAAGGGGGAATTTGGAATCAACTGGAAGATGTCAGTGATTCTATACATGAATAATAAGCCACCACACATTGTTTCTACTCTCAATCACCTTTCAACTTTCATTGACTTTGCTTGTTGATTTCAATTTCTTCATTAAACTTTACCTCCTCAACATTATTACACCAATGGGTCAACTCCTGGCGCTTCATATGCATCTGATAGATCTCAATTTTGGCATCAAAATTCTTATTCTCCAACTCATTTCTGGTTTCATTACTCTACTTACAACTACAACTGATCTGGCAGCCTTGACACAATTAGTCTTCTTAGTCTTCAGAGCACTGGCATTAATATGGCTACTTATATAATCAATTTCTCTGTGATATTATGACATGGAGGATGTCCATCTGTAAAGGGTCTATCCTGGCTGCAAGTGCTCCAACATGACACATAAATATTGAACCAAAATGGTCTTCTCAACCTCCTCTAGAAATAGCTCTGCCCAACGATCACCACACACTCCTACAACACTATATTGTGTTGTGACAAGGTACCACCATAGATACAGACTGAAATAAGATAATTACAAGCACTGGATTCAGATCATGATTCAGATAGTTTTGTTTTTAACTCTGGTGGGTGATAACACACCTCTCTCTCCATCAAGGATATGTCTGTATGCCAGGTTGATTCTCTGCACAAGCTGTGAAATAAAGACTCAGTTCTATCCTGTCTCCAACGCATTTTTCAAAGACCAGAGGTGTAACACATTATCACAGTTCTAACCTGCACTTTAATATTCTATCCAGGATAAAAAAAACCCCAGAAATTAGATCCAATGTAATGTTACTTTTACTCATTTGCAGCACTAAGAATTTGAGTCAACAGTTACCAAGCATACATGGCTGCTTATCAACAACTTTTAAGGGAAAATCTCCAATATTTATTTACTTGATAAGCACTACAACCTTGCCCTCAATCTTTATGAAAAAAACCACTTTTTCACAGAGCAACAGATTACCACACCCACAGCTTGCATCCAAAGGAATATCTGGAACTGCTGTTCTCAAATGCAACATGTACGTAGTTGAGAACACCTGGTCATGTACTGAAGGCCTCCTCCTTGATAGAGATGCTCTCTTTAATGCAAAAATCAATGAAGTCATTAATAATCGTTGCAAGATAAGAGTGACCATTAAGATGGGTATTGCATAGTAGTACAGGTCACAACTGACAGCTCTACAACAATGTGCTGCATTAACAAAGCATCACAATTCCCTAACTTTCCCTGATCTCAAAGGCTTTCATGGTCGGCATCCGATGGTTGTTGTAGGTTTTTCAGGCTGTCTGGCCATGTTCTTGAGATTTTTCTTCCTAACGTTTTGCCAGTCTCTGTGGCCGGCATCTTCAGAGGACAGGAGTCAGAACTCTGCGATTTACTTGAGTTCTGACTCCTGTCCTATGAAGATGCCGGCCACAGAATTCTGACTCGTCTTCTGAAGATGCCAGCCACAGAGACTGGTGAAACGTTAGGAAGAAAAACCTCAAGAACATGGCCAGACAGCCTGAAGAACCTGCAATCATTTCCTTGATCTCTCTATTTGTGGGGGATGCCTTCATCTCTGAATTCACCTGAATTCACCTTACCATGGTCCATCTGGGTGCTCCCATGTAGACGCCTTCAGTATGTAGTGAGTGATCCCTCTATCTCTAGCTTTCTTACTCATAGTCAGTTGATGAAGCATTCCAGAAATAGACACATTTGCCCTAGCACAGATTGTGTAGTACCATCTGCTCTATATTTACACCCAAGGTTTGTCACATTGAAAATACAACATATTAGATTCTTTTTATGTCCATCCACTAAGAGAACTTACAACCTGAAATAATTGCATTTTTACTCCTTTGCAACTTCAGTCAATGCTGCCTCACTACCTGAGGTCTACATGATCCTTCATTTCCTGCACCACTTTTTCCAGAAAGCCCTCTTGCTATTTTCCTTTAAAGTATTTCTTGTTGCAATCTGTGCTTATCAGTCTCGAATTTCAACACATTCTTCCCTCTTAGCACATCCTAAAATTTGGAAATTTCTCAAAGGAATGAAAAACATCTAGCCTTTTCCTGGCTTCATTCTTTTTGTTGTCCCTATCCAAGTTGATGGCGAAACTGCTCAAGTCTTTAGCAATGTATAATCTTAGCAATGTATAATCAATGTATAATCTTCAACTGCTAACTCTTAAAGTTGCTTTCCTCATCTCCATCTGCAAAATGAGCACTTGAATTCTATGTGCTCCAGTCTAATCCACATATCCTTAACCTTCACACATGGAAAACTGCATTTCGGCCTGACACTATCTCCCTTCCAAAAGTGGTTTCCTCTTTTCATCTCTCTCTCTCGAGACACTTTATCAAGTAGACAGTTACAATCATGGCCTTGACTTATCCCTTGGAACATCTTCCTGTCTCTAGCCTTCTGAAAAACTACAAGGCTTATGGCTTTTCTCAGGGCTCCCTCTGAGTGGCTACCTGGTCTTATCCTTCACCTCCGTGAGACACTATAGACAGAATATCTGGGTATCTCAAGATGCATCTTTTGCTATACCAGCTACTCATATTCCCACTTCCAGGAAGTAAACTTGCCAATTAACAATTTGAATGAGACACAGAAACCACAGTGGAGAACAAGTTTCCTGTGTGCAGTTATGATTCCTGTAGTCATATATACATTCCACACAACTCTCTTCTTCCCTTAAGACTCTTTCTGCTACACGTTTTCTTTGCAGTAGAGTGAGAACTGAGAGGGATGAGCAAAGCATCCTCACACATGCTCAGAGTGGGTGGGGAGGCAGGCCTCCCATCTGAATCCTAATCAGTTGTATATTAATATGTTAAAGGTGCTGTACATGCATAAGACCCATTTGTGCAATTGTACAAATAATCATGCAAAGGACCACAATTATAGGTAAGCAATATTTTCATATCTTTCTTCTCTTTTTCTTCTCTAAATCAAAGGCTAAAAGAATGCTGCAGGGAAATGAAGAGTCACTCCATCTATTCCATACTATTTTTCCACAAGAGGAGCAGGTCTCTACCATAGGTAGAGATACTCACCTGTGCTGCCTTCTTCATGTAACCCTTATTTCCTTAAAATGCCTACATTTTAGACAGGAGGGCAAGAGATAGGCTGTAATTGAACCTTAAGGATGCTATTTTAAAACCAACTGGACAAGTCATAAGAGATACACAATTGATTTCCTATCAGTTTTTTCCCCTTATGAAAAGGAGCTCTGTAAGCCCTCAAATTGGTTTGAAGTAGAACAATGGGAGAGGAAAGTTCCTCTGTCTCATCTCTGCCACTTTTCTAATCTGGATTACAACTAGCATGGGAGATAAAGGATAACTGCTAGGTAAGGCACAGCATTAAGCCCAAAACTTTGGGGATTTGTGCCCATGATTTGGAGGTTTTCTGCCCAGTTTAATGTTTAAATTTTGTCGTCTGTTTCATATTATTATTTTAATTGTGTTGAATTAATTATTCTATAGTATTTGTATTATGTGTGTCCCATCTGGATAGAAATGCTTTAACTGGTAAATAAAAAAAATAAAATAATCTCTCTTCCCTCAGCATTCCCAAACCAATATGGTTTGGCTCTTACTTGGAAAGAAGTCCATGGAAGTTAAGTGCCATTTATTGATTACAATGTATGAAATTATTTTCTGGTGCTTCATCTAATCATGCTGCTATCGTATGTAAAGGCCTAGCATCCGCAGCATGTCTACAGGACCAATTACATAAAATCTTTGGCCATCTGGGAAAAAAACAGGCAAATCAAAGTTATTTACATAGGATGAAGCTATGAAAAAGTGTTTCCCATATGTCTGCAGTAACATATAAATGACATTAAACTCCTAAATAAGAGTAATTTGAATTGGTAGGCAACAGGGCTCTGAAACTGGTTCTTTCTGAAACTACAGATTTCACATAGTAATTTCATTTGGACACAGTCTTACACAAATGCAAGAATTGTTAAATTGGTCTGTGAAATTTAGGAACTATCATTCTGTGCTTAAGTTTAGAAATATTATACATTGGGGGAAAATTACTTTCAGAGTGAGACACTTCTTGAGAGATTGAGCCAGTGAGAAACAGTCCCGGTAAGTGAACTCAAAAAGATTCCATTCAAAATTCATGCCACAGTCTTTAACACCATAAGACAGGTGCAACTCCTCTAGGTGACAAAGGGCTGGAATGAGCATACTCATATCGAAATGGTCCATGGAAGGTTCATCTATTCCAGCGTCACTTTCAGTATCAGAAACTTCTTCTTCTTCTTTCTTCTGATCTAATTTAACTGGTGGAAGGAACTGATCAATTTCCAGCTTTCTCACGTATTCCTTGCACAGTGGGATGATATCCAGGACTTGGTTCGGGCTAGTGGTATCTGGAATGTAGAACTTCAAAATGTTCTCCAGATACCTTTCAAAAAACATCTGTTTCCAGCTATTTCCATAGTGGGATACATCACAAACTGTCCATCTCTCCGTGCAACAACGTTTCCAATAGTTTTCGTCACTAATCAGATTGGCAGTCACAGTGAGGGGCAGACTTGTAGAGATCTTGTCCAGCACCTTCCTCTGGTGCTCAGGAAGGAGGCTATGCAAAATAGGATTGTCTAATTGGAAAGAAAAGAAATTAGGACTATAAGGAAATTGAGACCTATTTGGAATGTGGGCTTTGCTTGCTCTTTTATAGTATCCTAGGAATCAGTTCACAAGAAATATTGCATTATACAACGGGTGGGCAAAGTGCAGCCCTCAAGGTGTTGTTGGGCTACAACTCCCAGCAGCCTTAGGCAGCAGAAACAATTGTGAAAATGCCAGGAATTGCAGTTCAATAATGCCTGGCAAGCCACTTTGTCCATGCTGGCCCCACACACATATATTTGGTTTTCCCCTTGTTCAGGATTGCTTCTGGCAAATAATCTTGGAACTGGTGTTAACAATGCTAACACATTTTCTCAATAACTTTTCCTCATAATTTCATAGGAGGAGACAATAATGTTAATCAGATTCACTTTTTACTATCAATACACCTGCTATATTATACAATCCATGATAATGATTCAAAATTATTCATGGAATTGAGCAGTTAACTGGCAATGGTTTGGTCATGCAGAACTGCTTAGCACTTTCAAATGAGCCATCCACTCCAGTTTCTTTTCTTTTTCCTTTTCATTGACCCCCCCCCCAATTGCAGATATATTTCCAACCTGACTGAATACTTTCACACCAAAAACTGCACACAAAAAATCTGACTTACTTTCAAAGTTGTTGATTATGTGCTGAATGCAGAGCTCTGTTAGCAGAGGAACTATTGCTAGACTCCACTCAGGATCCTCAGCAATAATCCGTCGCATTCGCCGGGGATTCGCTGCAGGGTTCATTATTGTGATGCGACTTGGAGGAGGGAGTGCATTGAGATCTCCAGCAACAGGCTCCTGCATCTTGGAAGGTTGAGGCAATACTTCTCTCACCTTAATTAGAACAGAAGAAAAGTTCTGCACAGGCTAATTGCTGTATGTCTGCTGTCTGCATTCCTGGAAAAAGAGCTTACAGATGAATCAGAAGCCTATGGCTCTCCTTAGTACTAATAAAATATTTATTGTAAGGAATTGCAGAGCAAGGGAGGTGGGGAAGAAAAACCCTGACAGCTTCATTTATTTAAAATAGTAAATTACTATAGCCAATAAATAGATCCACGAATGCGCATACAAACAAGTAAGGCCTTTGTCTTTTTGGAGCAACCGTTAGAAATGTAACAATATTTAAGATCTAGAAATTATTTATATCAGAATTTTTATTGCCTTTCCTCAAGTTTCAAATATTGCTCCACATTACATGCCTATAGAATGACCAGCAGAAGAACCAAACATCATTACACAATAAACAAAACAAATTCAATAACTGCACATGGTAGATTAGGTTAAGGATTCTTTTAGTCCAGCATCTAGTTCCTACAGTAGCCAGCCCAGCACCTATGAAAAGTTCTTTTTCAGATTACAGCTCTGAAGATTCTGTGAGTTGTCATCCCAAAATGTTAACAACTCCAAGCTTTGAGCCAGGTACACACTTCTAAGACATTCAAAATAGAGCATGATAGTAACTGACTTCCTCAAATCATTTGCCTCCCAGCATCGTACAACATCATAATAACCAGAATCACACACCCTCTGAGAATACAGCCTGCTTTTAGCTATCATGGCTAATAATCAAGACAGAAATGAGATGGTTGGTTAGTTTTTGCTCTTATGATCTGAATGTTCTGATCATTGCCATTTGCGTTAGTAAACATCTCAACTTCGTGTAACTATATTCGGGTTCACTCTACTCCTATAGTATGGTAAACTGAATGGTACAGTTTTTCCATGCCCTTCATTCTACTGCATAGCCCAGTTGCATATGGTGTGGGAATTGAGACTGGAAATCATCCTTGTTTTTTACTAATAACCTTCAACAAAAAAAGTCTGCAGCCATGTAGGAACAAGTGCTACAAGGCTGCACTGTTCTATTGAATACTGCAGTACTTTGATCCTATACAATACTTTCCCTTTACAAAGAGAGAAGCAGGTGCTGCTGTAGAGATCAAGCTCATTATTTCTTTCCTCTTCTCTTCTCTGTTCAGTCTTCCTTTTCTAGCACATAGAAGAAGCAGCCCTTCGTGTGCTAAAGCCCTGGTGCCTTGAAACCTTTGAAACAGGATGTAGACTTCTGAAAATCCCTACTGTTCCTGGTAGCCTGCTAAAACAGTCTGTTACATCAGAAATCTACAAAATGCTAAGAAGAATCCTAGGAGCAAAGAGAAGTGATCCAAGTAGAGTTGTACATAATGTGTCAGCAAAGTCTCTCTTGCCTATTCATAGCAAATGCTAATAGGAAAACTACAAGCTGATACAGGGGTGGGGCATAGATATGCAGGAGAAGGCAGGTGTGAGGAGGACAATTGCGGCACAGGTGCCATTCTAGCTGGGCCATTTCATCTTCTCTCCAGTTCTGGGGTATTCCAAAAGACAAGTAAACCTGAGAGACTCCCTCTGGGAGGAATAGGTGCCAGGAGAACCCACAGTCAATGGACCTGAAGCATTAGAATGGGGAACCTAGACAGAGGTCCTGGAGGAGGAGGCACCAGCTGAGAACCCAGGCAAAGAGAAAAGACCCCTGGAAGAGAGAGAGAGAGAGAGGAGCGTCCAAGGGATACAAGGGGCTGCTGGAAGCAACACAGCAGGAGATATCAGGAGGAAAGGAGAGAATGGAGCAAAGGAGCAAGATAGGATCCCTGCTGTCACATTTGGAGGTAGAGGAGACAGAATAAGAGGGAGCCTGGAGGAACACCTTAGGGCCACAATGAGGTCTGCATGTGAAAGAAGTTCCCCCAGAGGAGCCAGAGCCCCCAGGTGACTGGCAAATATTGATACATGGCATCAAAATATAGATATCAATGAAAGAAAGTATCCTTAGATGAATTTCTGCTTTTTAAAAAAAGCAACTTGCCTTGATGAATAACCAAGTATGCAGGAGAAAAAGTGTTCATTATTCCTTCTAATGATAAATGCAGTAGCTCAAAGAAGCTATAGCTCCATTCCGAGGACTATCTTTAAACAGGCAAAGCATTTTCACACATGAAAAGGGATATCCTCCTTTAACTTCTAACTACAGTTATTCTGGGAAGCACTCTTTTCATTTCCCTGAGATTTAGAAGCAGTTTAGGACAGCATGGTTGGCTGCTTTCAGAAAGGTGGGATTCAAAAGTCCTATGATACACTCAACATAAAGTATTGGCAGCTATTGTAGACTGTGTAGGTTACTTGGGGAGGATTTCTATGACATTTCACATTTTTTCTGCAACCTACATTTGAACCCATAAGCAAACACACACATGTTTATGAGTAATCTGGCCTTTCTTACCAGATTACTCATAAACATATTCAACCCCCTCCATAAAGTCAAACATAGGTTGCAGAAAAAATATGACATGTCATAGAAATCTGTTCCTTACTAATCAACAATTTTTAGAATCTACTGCTTATCAACAGCTGCAATATTCCAGAGTTTCTTTCCTGTACCTACTTCATATGCATCTCTACTAATCCAAAACCATTTATTTGGTTCTCCATCCAGTAAACTGCAATTTCTCTGGCTTGGTCTAAATTAATGCTGGATTTAAGTTGATTTACAATTCAAATTTCAGCTACATCTGTGTCAATTCACATGGTATGTTGCACATACATTTATACATCACTAATCTATATACTTCCAGCTGCCTATGAGCATTTTTGCCCTGTTGCATACAGGACAAGTAGCAGTTTAATATCCAAATGTTTCGTATACAGTGGCGCTAGATAGGCAACTTTGCCGTATACTTCAGTGTGTTAATCCTACATAGATACAAAAGTGTTAAAGTGGTAGCTTGTTGAATGAGAGAAAAACGAAATAAAAAAGCCATGGTTAAAACAGAAATATGTATAAATTTTTTATAGTATAAATTCACTTGTCTGAGTGATTTAAAATCATCCATCTTGGAAACATCTTAGTGCACTATTCCTTTCTGCTTATCTGAATTATGTAGGCTAATCTGTGGCAGATTCATCTGTAGTACTTTGAAATGGGAGTTGGACTTTATAATTCATGCCAGCCTTAGGGTCCTATGGTTCTGTAAAGTAAATTAGAGTAGTCAAGAGTGGAGCCAGCCACTCTAAGACAAAACAAGGCAAGCGTAATAAAGCAGTTGATTATATTTATCTCAGAACGATTACGAGATCAGAGACATCTGTAATAACCTCACTACCACACGCCCAAGTCTGCTGAATGTTCGGAAGACAGCAGGATATCTGAATAGCTGCTGAGTGCATGAGACATAAGCCTGCTGCAACAGAAAGGGATAGGTTTCCTTTGCCATAGCAGAAAGTAAGGCTCCAGATCTTTAAAGTAGCTTCTTCAGCCTACTTGGATGAGTAGTGAAACGTTTCAACCTAACAAGAAAGCAATCCAGTTGCCATGACTCAACTTCCAGATAAGCACACCTGGATGAGATGACTGAGAATCTTCACAGACATAGTACTAATAATAATATACTGTACTTGAGATTAGGCAAGTTGCAAGTTGACCCCCCCCCCAAAAAAAAGCGAAAGAAAGAAAGGAAAGGAAAGCTTTAATAATTGCCATATTTTGCCAGGTTTCTCTAATAGAAGCTCTTTCCAGGATACTCATGGATGGAGTACAAAGCGTAGGAATAAACAGTAGTGTTTCAAGACATCAAGGATGAAATCTGGATATACTGCAAAAAATATTTTTGTTTTCAGAACGTGTGTTCCCTCAGTCCTGACTGAGCATTTAATATGATCACAAATGTAGCAAAACAAGGTTGCTGTGGTGTGCTAATTATTCAATGTGTTTGAATCAAATTCATGATCAAATGCCTGGGGATTTGTAAGGTGCCAAGTCTTGCAGTGAGTCACTTATCACACTGAATCAATTCACAGAACCTCTTCATGTGATAATCATATATCACCACTGGTGCTCTACTTTGTGATTTTCTTATTCTCTTTTCAGACATAACATTTCTTTTGCTGCACTGAGTTCACATTCATCTACAGTGGACCCTCTACTTACGGAACTGATCCGTACTGTATATTTATAGGTGAGTGTACAACTACTTACTTGCTTGCTTATTTATTTGCTTACTTACTTGATTTATACAGCACCCATCTAGCAAATATAAACTACCAACAAGATATACACATGTATGTAATCATTTAGTGAACTGTTCATCATATTGCTCTCCCAAACGGGAAATGGCCTATCACTCCCTATTTTTTCATCTTGGGGATTCAGGTATGGAAATAAAAAATCTTTTTTCTTCCCAGGACAGTACATTTGAGCAACTCAGCAACCAGCTACCCACTCAGTGCAATACATCAACTTTTGATAATTGGCCTCCTTTGTTAACTCATCTGTGGTGCTAAGAGGGCTGAGGGAGCTCAAGGAGCTCTGAAAGAATCTCCACAAACTCCTGTGCATGCCATTTTCTGCATATTCTCCTTCCCATAATTCCTTCTCCCTCCACCCAGTATACTGTTTTCCTGTTTTTTCACTTCTTGATGCTTCTCACTCCTCTGCTCTCGCTCTCTCCTTGTTCTTTATCAAGCAGTGGTATCATGTACTGATTTCCTCAGAGAGTGTCTGGAGCCATTATTTTCTTTAGAACTTTTGGAACAGTATGTGAAGATGCCTAGAATTCTGGGAGTTGCAGTCCACAGGTTAACACCTGCGGACACCTATATTTCCCTCACTTAGAGCAAAGCCTACAATTTCCTGCTGCAGTGCTTCCTGGTTGTTGTCATTCTTTAAGAGGAACTCTTTATAGATCCTAAACAGCATCAAGACTACAATGCCAAGGAAGCACTGTAGCCAGATTTGAGGACTATACTGCTGCCTCCAAAGTAGGCCTTGCTCTAGGTGAGGGAAATAGATATGTCTG